TCTATGTTTTGGCACGCGTATATTGACCAATAACCGTTTTCTTCTCTGAGAAAGGTAAAATTAAATCACAGAGGTGGTCTACGATCAAGTTTGTAATGCTATATTCTTCTATGCACTCAAACAATTATTCCAAATATACGACTACCTACATGAACTCTCCATGAAAATATGGCATAATTAAATTTTTCTTTATAACAATTATTTATTACGAGTTCACCAATATTCCATGTAATAAGCTCTTTAATACCTCTTTGAATGTTTTCTCACCACATATATGGTTATTTTATTCTTAAAATACGCTTTGCGTTAATTAAACGAGTTTGGAATAGAAATGCTTCTTCTGTCGCTTGTCGTTCACTTATTGAGCTGTCAGCGACGTTTCTGCGCTCAAATTACGTCGCTCGCCCGCCGCTGCTGACACTTCCGGCTGGCCGTGGCCGCTGTAGCAACGGCAGGAAAACGACTCTCCAAGCGGGCAAAACCGGGTCCGCCCCTGCTCTCGAGGGAGTGTACGGTACTCGAGAAAATATTCAGTGAGCCCCGAGAGTGTAGAAGACAAGTTCGAGATCGACTATCGAGCAGGTCAAAGACTACACGAACATTCAATTTGGGTGAAAGAAGCTTTACCCAAACGTACTAATTCAATAATGTTCAATGTTTCAATGAGTAAGCCATTTCGAATGACTTTTCCACGATGAAACGATTGAACATCTTTTACAATTATCATGAATTAAGATGTTCGCTGAAATGATAAGCAATGCAAGATTGGGGAATCAAAGATCGTGAACGGAATGGCGGCTTCCATAAAACAAACAATGAAGCCCGTGTCTAACGACAGTTCATGATACGCTCTTAGCGCGTTGTCGAAAGAGGAGTCAAGAGGGTATGACTATGAGGTGCTTCTGCCTCAGAGAAGCCTAGGTGCTACAGCGGAGAGGAGAGATCTTGAAAGTTCGCAGAATCCCAGATTCTCACTTTTCTGTTTCAATTGCTAACGAATCATCTTCAAAGGGACTAGATACTACCATTTTACAGGTCCTAAATAAGACATAAGGAAACGAAGTCCCTGAACACTCATTGTATGTCTCTGAAAGATTCAACACAGCCTCATGAAAGTCAGCAAACATAGAAAGCATATCAGAGGTCTCTTCTCTATCAGTAGAAGAATGACTTGGACTTCAATATAATTTGGATGTCATTCTCGGAATTCTCAGATGAGCATTGATCTCTTATAGCTTCAAATCAAATTTTAATCTGGTGTAAATTGTACATATAATCAACACATTAGAAAAAATAAGCTTACACATTCGAAGAAAAGTACCTTGTTCTTGCGGTAAGTAATAATAAAAATATATTTTCAAAATATAAATAAAAAATTGAAAATTAAACTAAATCGCAGGTAATTAAGAAACCATGTATTTATTCAATCTCTAAGAAACAACTTTTAATATTAAAATTTCAGTGTAAGACAACCATTCTCCTCTTATATTCTCTACACGAGAAAAAAAACTTCAAAAGAGACCATACAGAGATGTAAATTAAGCATTCCATTATTAACGCCGCAATGTCCTTAAGTTTACATTTTTTTATTATTTAAGGTCGTATTAACATCTACGTCATTAGCGACCACTATTGCTTTTAACGGCATGGTAGCTGTCAAGATGACATGATGTGGTGATGATAGGGGTGAAAGGACGAACACAATTCAATCATACCCGAGGCGGGACTAGAACCCGCGATTATTCGGTCCGAGATCGCTACGGCACTACTGCCTTAACGACCTCAGCCAACCGGACCGGCACATTCACTTTTGTGATGCATAAAATACCGTTTCTATGTAGTGAGAGGGGAGCGGAACAAGGCATGCGTGGCGCGGAAATATTTTCCATCCGTGACTGCGTGTCGGCAAAGACTGGAGCCAAACTGCATGTCTGGCAGTGAGTGAGAAAAAACGAGACCCGACAAGCCTTCACTTATCATGTACCATGCTCTCAACCATGAAGTGACAAATGGAAGCAACATGGCCTCTCCATTTCATACTGGAAGCAAGAAGTGGAAGATTACCGGACTTCAATCAAAGGATTAATTCAAAGTGGCTTCTTTTCTCAGAAACTTAATAACTCCAACGAATTTGGTCTAGTAGGACCTCAGCCTCATGAGAAATGTCTTCAGTAATCGAGCTCCGTGAAAGCTGACAGATATTTTTTTTTTGGTAACAGTTAATCAAGGTTAACATGAGACATCTCTGAGACAGTTGCATACGGATATTGTAAATCATTCGGATATATTGGAGGGAAATTTAAAAGTTATATCTTCGCGTTCATGGGCAAAAATATACGAATCCAGAACGATTCCCCTAGAGTTT